TCCTCCGCTGCGTGTGAAGGTCCTGCCTCACCCTCATCAGTCACTATGCGGACTGATTTGCTTTTTGATTTCTTTTTCTGAATGGGGGCAACTTCTACCGGTTTAGGCTGCTCTGGTTCGGTGACTGTTTGTGTGGAGGTGCTCATGGCCCTTTTGGTTCCTTTCTCCTCTGTGGTAGTCTGCGTAGACATGGACGCTGTTGTTTTGCTCTTGGTTCCTTTCTCCTCTGTGGCAGTCTGAGTGGACACGGATGCTGTTGCTTTGTTCTTGGTTTCTTTCTCCTCTGTGGCAGTCTGCGTAGACACGGACGCTGTGGCTTTGCTCTTGGTTCCTTTCTCCTCTGTGGCAGTCTGTGTGGTCATGGATGCTGTTGCTCTGCTCTTGGTTCTTTTCTCTTCCTCCTCAAGAAGACGCTGTACCACACCAAACAGTGCTTTGTTTCTAAGCATGGTGTACATGGTGCAGGCCATGCAGAGAAAACAAAACAGCAAGACTAGGCTGTCCTTGGCATCCAGAGAGAACTCAATATTTTTAAAAACTGCTGTGCCTGACCTGAAAGGCTGGAAGAAACCACTCTCCACTCTTCCCACCAAGGGCAGGGTGCGATTGTTGAGAAGGTCCCAGATGTAGCAGCCCAGACTAGGACAAGCAAACAAAATTGAGTATATATTCCGAATGGTATTCATTGCCTCACAGGTTATCATGCCATAAGCATAATAAACCAATAAAGCAATTCTCATACCATTCCCTGGTCTCAACAGGAGCAATACAACAGGCAAGTAGTTCCCCATGTGAGGGAAAATATAGAGAGCAAGATACAGTACCCATATAGACAAGCCAACCACCATGGTGGATAAGTTTCTGTTAATATGAAATTGCAATTCTGACTTTCTCTCAAGTTAATGCCCCACGTTGGGCGCCAAAATATGTACTAGTTTGAAATCAAACCAGTGAGAGATCGCAAGTCAGAATTATAATTTAATAGGAAAATGATAAAAAGAATAAATGCAATAATATTAAAAACACTGACAGAGTCAGAATACAGCCTGGAACCCTGTTAGGGTGATGGTAGTCGTCCAGATGAGGTGGTCTTGTTGAAGTGTGATCCTCTGGAAGAAAAGGGGTCTGGTCTTCAGCTGAAAGTCCAGCAGTAGCTCCTGTCCTCTGGAAGTCCCGTAAGTAAAGGCTGCTGTGGTGTTCGAATTCTCAGCTTATATCCAGTATGGAATGCTTGGCTCCTCCCTCGGGGAGGAGCATCTCACAATGAGATGGTGAGTCATGAGATAAGGCCTTGATGAGCCATTAACAGAAAACAGTCCAGGAAGAAGTTATCTCTGAGTCATACAGCAAGGCAGTGGTGGGCCCATTAACAGGGGACAATACAGGGGGAAGTTATCTATGAGTCATGGGGCAGGGCATTGATGGGCCCATTAACAGAAGGTAGCCCGGGGGGTGGGGGGGGAGGCAGAGAGCACTGCCTCACCTGGTTTCAACAGTACATGAGGATGGTGATAGAATATACTGCAACCCAGGACACAGGTGGACACCAGCAAAAGCAGATGAGTTTCTGCAAGTAACCTGGAGTCTGACAAGCCGTATGCGTCCCAGTTTCAACTCCATAGGGCAAGTGTTTTATGGCTTTTATAATTACCAATCTAAAGTCTGTCATCAAATGATCATGCAGGTCCTGCAGCCAGCAGATGTGAGTTGGACCACCGGAAGAATGTGGTCAGTATTCTTGCACAAGCCTGGTAAAGATCCCGGTGAAATAGTACAAATTATCTGACTCCCAGTTATAACACCTGAAGCAATTAGCCCCAACCTTGTGGTCTGAGAACAGGCTGAGAACCCACGATCTAATAGTCTAGCCCTTGCATTTATACCCAAAGCTTTAACTCCTCTGTTGACTTTTGTGTATTAGCTGTTATCATCTCCAGGGTCCTATACCACTCCAAAGACGAAGTGAACCAGTACCTTGAGTGAGCAGGCCGCCTTCAGAAAAGGGAGCTGTTGACAGGACTGTCAGTAGCAATGCTGCTCGGCTTGGGAGCGACTGGTGCAGCCACGGGTGTCTCCGCCCTGGTAACCAGAGTCAGAGTTTCTCTCAGCTACAGATGACTGTAGATGAAGATCTACAGAGAATTGAGAAATCCATATCCTTTTTAGAAAAGTCAGTCTCCTCACTCTCTGAAATTGTTTTGCAGAACAGGCGAGGTCTCAACCTTCTATTCATGCAGCAAGGAGGCCTCTGTATCACCCTGAAAGAAGAGTGCTGCTTCTACGCTGACCACACCGGAGTAGTGAGAGACACCATGGCAGAGCTACGAGACAGGCTGTCTCAACGGAAGGCAGAGAGAGAAGCCCAACAAAGCTGGTTCCAATCTTGGTTCGACCAATCTGCTAACCACCCTGGTGTCTACCCTGATTGGACCAGTTGTGATGATTTTACTTGTGTTAATTTTCGGACCATGTATTTTAAATAAGCTTGTGTCCTTTGTTAAGAGCCGACTAGAAAAAGTTAACATTCTGTTTACAGAAAGGCAACGGATGCTCTAAAAATGCACTTAGTCACTGCATGAGTCTTATATTTACTAATGAAAACTGCAGTATCCATTTTATAAGCTTTTAGCTTTTTAGTTAAGTATAGTGTTCCTATATTTTACTCAAGTTTATACTATCATTTTTAAAACTTTTATAGTATAGATAAGTTAGACAAAGTGTTTAGAGATACGTATATAGAAAATAACATTAGAATTTTCTAAGACTAATACACCTTATATTCTAGCAAGTTAGTTATTCATAGAGAGAGGGGAATATGTTGTAGTCTAGGGCCTGGCGTTTGGAAGATATCGGGATGTAACAGAAAGTTAGTAAACCCCCTCTCCGTAATATGGCAATGACTTCTGCAATTAGCCAATAGCACCTAGCTGTGATGAAAGCAGATGGGAGTAGCACAGTAACCCTAGGTTATAAAATGTCAAATTCTCCTGCAATAAACACCATTTTCGCCATCCATCACATTGATGTCTTGTGGGTAAATGGTCCGTGTGGCCAAGGGGGGCCACCGTGCTGGCTCTGAACCAGGGTGTCTGCCTTGCTTGAAAACCCACATAAAAATGGCTAGGAAACTCTTTGGTGGGAACTGGCTGATAGAGCTTTCAGTTCCTTTCTTTAGAAGAAATAATTGCATTTTGTGAATGGAGGATGAGGTGTGTTAGCAGGGTTTTGGAGAGTGTTTTTTGTATTAGAAACCAATTACTGATCCCCAGTCTAGAAGAAAGCATGGTCACCCTCTTTTAACTTCAACTCAAAAGTTAAATCTTGGAGATGACATTAAGAAGTAGGAAAAGTGATGCCTGTAAATCTGAAAAAGTTGATCATTCCAAGCATCTAGTCAAGCATTTCTTGTGAAATGTCCTGCGTTTCAGTCTGAAACACAAAGAAGATTTGCATTAGGACAGTATGCAGCCTCCCAGATTTTACAGACTGAGTTTGGCCAGCTGCTCTCTCCACTGAATTTTGTGGGCTCAGGCACTGGCCAGTGGTGGTCCTTGGGCTGGGGAACCTGGAGATTTGGGGAAAACTTGTGTCTTGGTTTTAGAAGGCAGGTGTCTGCTAGGGAGGGCAGGAGCCTCCCTTGGAATGAAAATGTAGACCCCTCCCCTCTGAATTATTATAATTCTGAAATCAAGGGGCTTTCAGGCAGAGATCTGGAGATAGGAATATTTACTAATATTCATAACAAGGCAAACAAACAACAATAACTACAGCATTAGCAAGAAAACAGAACCAGGGGCCCCGTGACAGCTTTCTCGGCTGAGACAGGAAGGGATGGAGGAGAGGCTTTGTTTCACAAACCCCCTCGGGCAGTCAGTCCCGGTGCTCCTGCAGGGCTCTGAGGAACAGTCGCTGGAACAGCAGGGATGAGCTGAGATCCTGGGCCGGTGGCTGAGGTGGATCAGCAGCTTTGTGGTGGTGCCTGGCAGTGGTACGTCCCGGCAGGACAGGGGGTACCAGGCCCACAGACGAAGAAAGAAAGAAGGATAAGAAGCAGCAGCAGCTCCATCTGGGTGATGGTGAATTCCCTTCTCTCAGCTGCAACAGCTCCCAGCAAGAGTCCTCCTCTGAAGCTGAAGAAACCAGCCAGCCCCCAGCTGCTCCTGCCATCCCTTTTTCCTGCCTCCCTTCCACCCCGGGCCCAGCTGAACTCTTTGTGCTTCTCAAGCACCCACTCAGTGCCAGCAGTCAGGTTTCTGTGCAACTAATGGGTAAAAATTCCATAGGTGAGCCAGAACAAACCCCCAACTTAACCCCCAACAACTTGAAAAACTTTTGTGCAGCCATTAAAAAATCTAACATAGCTTCATATATCTAGACACACAACTAAAGCCCAGATATTTCTCTGTTCTTTTTCTTTTCAGCTGAGAAAGGAACTCACAGATGATTGGGTGTCTGTTCCACATCTATTGGGTTCTTGCCTTCTAGCTCCCAATTTGGATGAAAGTTACCCATTTGGTCCCACTGGCTTCCTCCTCTCACCATCTTCTACATCTTCCCACATTCTCTTGTGACTTTCTTCTTCTCTTTCCTTATGACCATTCCAGCCTTATCCCTGTTATAAATGGATAGCAAATTTGATCAATAAAAAGAACTTATTCCATAATTAAAATACAATCGTAAAAGCCACAAGCAAAGATCAGATCAGGGCTGAACCAGGCGAACAGTGCCAGGTGAGACAGGGAGGGGCTCTCTGGCATTGCTCCACCATGTTTCACGAAATGTTACTAACACAAGCTCCTTTTTATATATTCCCAGGCTTTTCAGGGGTCCCTTGCCTTCTTCCGTTGGTCTTGTCTTCTTTTGCATCTTGGTACATCTTCCTCTCCTTATTGCAGTGCCCGACAAATCCCCTGGAATACACTTTTTACAGATGAATATTCACGCTGGTTTTGGTGCATATCACTGTAATCTCATCAAATGAAAATCCCCTGGAAATATACTTTTTGTGGATGAATATTCATGCTAGGATTTTTATCAGATGAGATTACTGTAACTTCAGCACAAATCTATTCATGCCATGTATCACAGTCCCCCACTTTCTTTATTAATTCATTAATTTGTGCTCTTAGGACAGATTTTAATAAATCTCACCCATTCTTCAATTTCATATTCAGTATTTACGAGACCTAACAACTACTCTTTCTATACTGCTAATCAGTGTATAAAATTAACAACTTTTCCCATAAAACAGATTATTCTAATCTTTGATTTCTTTCATTAGGATTCCAAATTATGCTTTCTCTGTATCAATGCACATGCTTATTGTATCCTGAGTTATATTTTGACTACATAGTAGCTTAAGGCTAATAATGGCTATAGTGGTAAAATAACTTTTTCATGCTTTCTCATGTTGTCTGCTAACCCATCCTTATAACTGTCCCAGGACTGTACCTTACACATTTCATAGTCTTCCTTTTGTCCGTATAAATTATCTTTTATGTTATTTAATCATGTTTGAGCTTGAAATCTGGCCAGAGATTCAGCAGCTCTGCTCTTTCCATCTCCTTTTAATTCCATTATCTTAAATATTTTAGATGTTTTCTCAAATTGACCAGTTTTCCTTGTAGCTAACTCAGGATCGATGAGCATTGCTGCCATTTGCCTACTTTGGACAACAGAATGGATTAGTTGGATAAAACATGGTGTGAGACAAGGTAAAAGCAATAACCCCATTATTGAACATAATATTAAAAATCCTATCTTCTTCCACCAAGCTCCCCCCCCAAACAATTGATCCCACCATGAAGCTTGAAGGATAGAATACCATTTTTGAACTGGTACATGTGCTATTTTCTTAATTTCTG